CGAACCGTGGTCGACTACGTGGGAGTCAAGCGACATAGCCATTACGCTAACTGCTGGTTCCCAATATGAATCTCTTTAAAAGTAAAGACATACTCCTTATGTGTGAACCCTAGCAAACTAAAAGTGTCTTTAAGGCTTCTAATATCTAGTCAAAGGCCAGCTGGTAGCATGGTGATTCAGGTGCTGGAGTCCCGTGGCTGAATGCACTGTTCAAGTCCTGGACCTGGTGGCTTGAAAAGCATGCGGGGTGCATGTTCGTGCATGCCCAGTATCCCTAGAGGAGAGTGAAGAGAAAGGACTGTGGCATGGCCATCCTCCCTGACCAATGCAGGGGTGTTTCTCACCTTTTCTTCTCTCTCTCTGGTGATCATATGCACCTGTGGCAATACAAAAAAAAGTAAAAAAAAAAAAAAAAAAAATCTATTTAATACTCAAAATTTCCCAGTAGTTCCAAAGTGTGTTTTTTGTTTGTTTAAATTGAGTCCAGTCGGATACTACACATTGCATTTGGTTCATAATTTCTTTCATCTCTTCTACTTTTTAAATTTTTTATTTATTTTTGTAAGAGATTTTTGCTATAGGGTGTGTGTGCTTGCCAGAGAAATAGCGACAAGACAGAAAGTGAGAAATCACCCCCAGGGGAGATGGCCATGCTACGATCCCTTCTCCTCATTTTCCTCTCGGGATCTTGGGCATGCATACATGCGCCTGGTGTGTTTCAAGCCACCAGGTCCAGGACTTGAACTGTAGTCGACTACATGAGAGTCCAGTGACATAACTGCTATGCTATCTGCTGGTCCTTCTTTCATCTCTCTCTTTTTAAAAGTTTTATTTAATTTTACTTATTTAAGTAAATAGATAAATAAGTTTGACCAGAGAGAGAGAGAGAAGAGAGAGAGAGAGAGAAAGAAAGCCTCCAGGTTTGGTACTTGAACTGTGGTTGGCCAAGTGGGAGCCCAGCGCCCTTAGCCACAACACTACCTGCTGGCCTTAGTCTTTCATCTCTTTTAATCTAAATTTATTTGTACACACACACTTCTTTTTGCCATGAGTTTGACTTGTTGAGGTGATCATATAGGATAACATACTTTATTTTTCTGATTTCTTTCTTGTGATGGTATCTGCTTCTTTATCCTTTTTTTTCTTTTGAAGAATTATTTAGTTTCAGGACTAGCAGAGTGGTTAGTTTTGGGACTAGGTAATAGTTTCATCACTGGACTCCCACGTAGTCAACCACAGTTCGAGTCCTGGACCAGCAGCTTAAAACTCAGGCTGTGTGCATGTGTGCCCAGAATCTCAAGAGGTGGAAGAGAAGGGATTGTGGCATGGCCATTTCCCCTAGGTAGTAGTTTCTTGCTGTCTGTCTGTCTCTCTGTCTCTCCAGTGAGCATATATGCACCATATAGCAATCTTTCTCTAAAAAAATAAAACAATTACTAGTTTCATTTATTATTTTCTTAATTTGCTATAGGCATACACGCTCACCAGAGAGAGACACACAGAAAGGAGAGAGGGAAAGTAAGAAAGCAAGTCCTTAGGTCCAGGCTTCAAACTGCAGTTGGCCACGTGGGAGTCCAGCACCTTAACTACCCCGATGCTTGCTAGTCCTACTTCTTTATTATTTATGTTTTGGTAAACTTGAACTGTAAGTAAAGATTTTATTGTAGAAATAATTTTTTTCTGAATCAAAGTAATTTCATTTAATTCTAGCAAGGCCTTTTTGGTTTTTGTTTGTTTGTCTGTTAATTTACCATTATCATTATTTTTAAACTTGACCAGAGACAGGCAGGCAGAGAGAGAGGGAAAGCGAGAAAGCAAACCATCAAGTTCGGGATTTGAATCGTGGCCGGCCATGTGGAAGTCCAGCTCCTCTAACCACCATACCACCTGCTGACCCCAAGGCCTTTTTATTAATTAAAGAATAACAAACTTGGGACCTGCAGGTGGCATAGTGTTTGAGGTGCTAGAGTACCATATGGTTGACCATAGTTCAAGTCCTGGACCTGGTGGCTAGCTTTCTCACTTTCCCTCTCTCTCTGATCAAATTAAAAACAATAACAACAATAAATTTTTAAGAAAAAGAAGAAAAATGTATGAATTTGATCATTTTTTTCTTTAGAAAATTGTTTTTCTGTGTTGTTTTTTTTTCCCCTAAAAGCCAGAGGACATGTGCACTCACCAGAGAGAGAGAGCGAGAGAGAGCGAGTGAGAGAAAGTGAGAAAGCACCCTTGTGGGGGGTCATACCACATTCTCTTCCCCATTTCTTCTTCCTTTGGAATTCTGGGCACGTTGACTTGCCCAGCTTATTTTTCAAGCTGCCAGGTTCAGGATTTGAACTACATGCTCAGTTCTGTGGGATCCAGAACCTTCACCATCATGTCACTGGTTGGCTAAGCTTGATGATTTATTTATTTATTTTTTAGTTTTGCTATAGGGTGTTCTGTGCTCACCAGAGAGAGCCAGAGAAGGAGCAAGAGCGAGAAAGTGGGAAATCACCCCCTATAGAGAATGGACACACGTCAGTCCCCGTTTATTCTCCCTTTGGAAGTTTCGGAATGCACACACATGTGCCTAGTGTGATCTTCAAGCGAATGGGTTTGGGGCTCAAACTGCGCAGTTGGCCATGTGAGATCTAGCCACCGTAACATCCATGCCACCTGCTGGTCTGAACTTGATTTTTTAAAAATTAAACACTTGTATAGTCAGCATTCAGATCAAGAGTTTGTACAAAGCATCAACATCCTAGGAACTCCCCTCCGCTTTTCCAGTTACTGTTTCTCCCCTAAGTCACCACTTATCGCCAGCATATTATTTCTGTGAAGCTTGACCAACTCAAGGTGATTGATTTGGTATGGTAAATGAATTATTCAGTAAATGGGGGTGAGACAACCAGCCATTTGGTGGAAATAGTAGACTTTGTTCTTTTACTCCTATACCAAAAAAGTCCAAATGGATCAACATGTAAGATATCTTCTTGGGGCCAGTGGGTGGCATAATGTTTAAGGCACTGGGCCTCCCGCATGGCTGACCACGGTTTGAGTTCCAGACCTGGCAGCTTGAAAATCATGCCAGGCATGTGTGTGTGTGCCCCAAATCTGGAGAGGATGGAAGGGAAGGTATTACAGTATGGCTGTCCACCCTGGAGGGTACATTCTCACTTTCCCCTCTTTCTCTCTGGGGAACACATGTGCCCTGTGGCAAAAACTTACCAAAAAAGATTTATTCCACTAAAGGCCAGAGAGTTCCAAGGAACACTGTGTGCTCAACTGATTCATCTGTCAGATTGTAAAATACTGTTCCTGCAATTAGGTTATCACTGCTTTTTTTTTTTTAATGTTTTTACTTTATTTATTACTAGTATGTTTTAATTTGATCAGAGAGAGAAATAGGAAGAGATAGAGATAGAGGGAAAGTGAAAAAGCAAGCCTCCAGGTCCGGGACTCACTCAAACCGTGATTGACCATGTGTGATAACTGCCACGCCCTGGTTATCAGTGTTTTCAAGCCTTGGTTTAAAAAAAGGGGAGGGATCAGCAGATGGCATAATGATTATGTCACTAGACTCCCATTAGTCGACCACAGTTCAAGTCTCGGACCCAGCAGCTTGAAACTCATGCTGGCATGTGTGCATGTGCGCCCAAGATCCTGAAGAATGGACGAGAAGGGGTTATGGTGTGGCCATTCCCCTTGGGGTATAATTTCTTGCTTCCTGTTTCTCTGTCTCTGGTGACCACACGTGCCCTATAGCAAAAAACAAACAAACAAACAAAAAACTCTTAAAAAAAATAAAAATAGGGACCAGCAAGTGGCATGGTGATTAAGGTGCTGTACACTCCCACATGGCTGACTACGGTCCTGGACCACGTGGGTTGCTTTCTCACTTCCCCTCTTTCTCTCTCTCTCTCTCTCTGTGTCTCCCTCTGTCAACATAAAAAAATAATGAATGAATAAATAAAAATTAAAAAATATTTAAAAATAAAAAATAAAAAAATAAAAAAAGTATATTGAGAGGCTAGCAGATGGGCATGGTGGTTAAGGCGCTGAACACTCTCACATGGCTGACCACAGTTCGATTCTTGGATCTGGTATCTCACTTTTTCACTTTACCTTTTTCTCTCTCTGGTCAAATTAAAATGAACGAATGATTAAATAAAATTATATAATTCTTAAAAAAAAAAGGAATAGCCTTTTTATTTACTTAAGAACAACTGCAGGAACTGGGTTGAGAGAATTTTGATAAGTTCATTAGATGATATATTTATTGCCCTGCTTTTTCTATTCAGATGAATTATGTGTTGAAGCAATTTGTCAGATGGAACAAGCCAATTGCTCCTTTCAGGTTTTTGACAAACATCCAGGGATCTATTTGTTTTTGGTCCATCCCAATGAAATGGTGAGTGTCAATGTTAGGCAATGAATGGATGTACTTTGTTTTTGTACCTGTAGGTAGCTTTAATGGAGGTTTTGGGTGTATAGTTTAAGATGTTTGCTCAAATGTTTCTTATTTTGAAATCATTATAGTTAAGTAGAGGTTGCTGTGGAGTCTAAAAAGAGGGTTGGGAATACTTTCAGACAGATGATGTTTGAATTTGGAAGATGGGAATTATTTGATTTTCTTTCAGCATGTTAAACTAGTGAAGAAGACCTCTCAACTTTTCTCACATGTCTGCTCCACTCTAAACACAGTTTACAAATAGCAGTTAAAATATTTGAAATATTGAGTCATCAAAAAAGTCATGTTTTGGGGGCTGGCAGGTGGAGTGGTGGTTAAAGTGCTGGACTCCCACATGGCTGACCATGATTCAAGTCCACACCTGGTGTCTTGGCTTCTCACTTTCCCTCTCTCTCTGTCTGTCTCTGGTCAAATTAAAAACAATAAAATTAAATAAAAATAATCCTTGAAAAATTTTTTTAAAGGGCTGGACTCCCAGATGGCCGACCATAGTTTGGGTTCTGGACCTGGTGGCTTGCTTTCTCACTTTCCCTCTCTCTCTCTTTCTGAGCAAGCTGGAAAATAATAATAATAATAATAATGTTAAATGAAATAATTAAAGACATTTTTAAAAGTCATATTTCATTCTATGTTTTTCTATGAAAAATGCATCATAGCTTTTCTGATGACCCAATAATTGTTTTGCTCACAAATAAAAGTGGGAGCAGGGGTACCAGAGAATTCCTGGGTGCTTGGGACCAGCAGATGGCGTAGTGGTTACGGCCCTGGGCTTCCACCTTGGTTTAAATCTTGAACCTGGCAGCTTGAAAATCATGCCATGAGCATGTGTACCCCAAATCTCAAGAGAGTAGAGGAGAAGGGATTGTGGCGTGGTGACCCCTTAGAGGGTCATTTCTCACTTTTTCTCTCACTGTCTCCAGCAAGTACATCTGCCCTATGACAAAAACCTTTAAATAAAGAAAATTCCTGGGTGCTAGAGATGTAGAAGAACATAAGTCAGAATATTGGGCATGGACAGAAGCAGAAAGTAACACGAGTATAGAACCCTGAAGTAAGAGTTTATGGCTGAGGCTTGAAGGGTTGTGTTTGCTAGAGGTTGTTCGTGCTCGCTGGAGAGAGAGAGAATACGCTCACACGGGGGATGGTCATGCCATCCCCCCTCCCTCTCTCCTTTTCAGGATTTTGGGCACGCATACACACGTGCTCAGCGTGGTTTTTTCCAAGCTAGTGGGTCCGGAACTTGAACTGTGCAGTCGACCATAAGGAATCCCCCCCCTACCCGCCCTGCCACCAGGTAGCCTAGGCCTGAGGTCTTATTACCATGGAGCGAGGCAGTTCCCTGTTGCAGGTCCTGTGCTTGTTGGCATGTAGAATGAGTTATGACATGAAACCAGTAGTCAAGAAGGCTGGTCTGCCAATGCAAAGCAAGAAGAAAGCCATTTCTCAGGTAATGGAGAGTCTGGTAATGAGGTTCCTAGTCAAGATTATGGAGGAACTCAGTTTCCTCTGTGCTAAATACATAGTATTGATAGAAAATATCTAAAATGAGGAAATTTAAAAGGTATGGTCAGAGCCAGCAAATAGCGTAGTGGTTAAGGCGCTGGACGCCCGTGTGTTCGACTGTGATTCACATCCCAAACCCGGTGACTTGAAACTCAGTTCAGGCATGTGTGTGTCTGTGCCCCAAATCCCAAGAAGAGAATGGAGCAGAAGGAATAGTGAAATGGCCATTTCCCCGGGGGATTTCTTGCTTTCTGTCTCTCTGGTGAGCGAATGCGCTCTATAGTAAAATTCTCTCTTAAGAAAGAAAAAAGGGACCAGTAGGTGGCATGGTGGCTAAGGGCTCTAGACTTCCACATGGCTGACTGCTGTTCGAGTCCTGGACCTGGAAGCTTGCTATCTCACTTTCTCTCCCTCTCTGGTTACATTTAAATAAATAAATAAATAAAGTTAAGTAAAATAATTCTTTGAAAAAAGATAAAAGAAAATTTTACGCCTTTGTCTGTATGTTCATGCGCATGCCCTCGCATGAGATTAATGGAAAAGGGATTACCTTGTAGCCCTCCTCCAGGGGTTGTTTTTTTTGCTTTCCCTCTCATTGTCTCCCTCTAGAGAATGCACATACCCTAAGGCAAAAACCTAAAACAAAAATTAGAAACTATCAAAAGACATTATTTTAAGGAGAGATTTTTGCTAATGGCTCCTGGGCTTGCTGGAGAAGCAGAGACAAAGACAGAAAGTGAGAAACCACCCCCCCACCCCAAGGGAGATAGCCACTCTGCATCCCTTCTCCATCTTCCTCTTGGGATTTTGATCACACACGCACAGGTACCCTGGTGAGTTTTAAGCCACCGAGTCTGGTATTCGAACCACGATTGACTGTGTGGGAACCTGGTGACGTCACCATCGCGCCATTTGCTGGTCCCTCAAAAGACATTATTAAGTGAAATACAAGTTAGTGAATGGGAGAAGAGGGGTGAGTTGGTTGTACAGCGGTCACACACTGCTCTCGGAGTCTGACCCATGTGGCAAGGTGAGAGATTCACGTCCAGAAACCTCCCTGAGTGTGTCCGGCATGCAGGTGCCCATGGGCTGGGCCAGCTGAAGCTGGAGGCGATTGTGGTATCAAGACCTTGTTTGTGGGGCGGAGAGCTGTCTATTTTTGTCTTTCTTTATCTTGCTTGCAGAAGAAATAAATGAGTAAACTTTAAGAAAAAAGTTGAAAGGGCCAGGTGGTAGCATGGTGGTTAAGACAGCTGGGTCCCATATGGCCGACTAAGCTGTTCAAGTCCCAGACCTGGCAGGCTTGAAAAGCACACTGGGCGTGTGTGTGTACGTGCCCAGATCCCAAGAGGAGAATGGAATTGTGCTATAGCCATTTCCCCAGGGGGGTAATTTCTCAATTTCTGTCTGTCTGTGGTGAGTTTACATGCCCTGTAGCAAAAAAAACCCAAAAAAACAAAAAAACAAAAAACAAAAACTTAAAAAAGAAAAAAAAAAGTTGGGAAAAGTATGGTTTAATAATATCCTAAAAGATAAAAGGACAAAGACGTAACAGACGTGTCGGAGAGGAAGGGAAAGTGGGATCCCCCACCCCTACCCGGGAATGGCTATGATGCATTCTCTGTGAATTTCAAGCCACAGCATCTGGGACTCAAATAACAGTCGGCCATTTGGGCGTCCAGCACCGGAACCACCACGCCACCTGCTGGCCCACCTTTATGTAATTCTTTAAAGGCTAGCTGTGATCACTTAATTCGTAGCTCTCAAGAAATTTAAAACCACTTCACTATGCTAATTATGCTATTTAGAAGTAACTTTTGCTTCTTTTTTCCCTTGATTTCTTTTTTTATTATTTTTTTTAAAGAATTATTTATTGAGGCCGGCAGGTGGCATTTGTGGTTAAGGGCATTGGACTCTCACATGGCCGACTGAAGTTCGAGTCCCAGACCTGGTGACTTGCTTTCTTTCCCCCTCTCTCTCTTTCTCTCTCTCTCTCTCCTGTCATCTCTGGTTGAATTTAAATAAATAAAGTTAAATAAAAATATTTTTTTGGGGGGGGAGGTTTTTGCTATAGGGCGCTTGCGCTCGCCAGAAAGAGACATAGACAGAAAGCAAGAAATCACCCTCCCAGAGGTGATGGCCACACCGCAATCCCTTCTCCTCCATTCTCCTCTCGGGATCTTGGGTACGCACCCGGCATGAGTTTAGGCCACTCGGTCCGAGACTTGAACCACAGTTGACTATGTGGGAGTCCAGTGACATAGCCATTATGCCAACTGCTGGACCCATAAAAATAATTCTTAAAAAAAAGGATTTATTTATTTAATTTTGTTTATTTTTTTTTATTTGACCAGAGAGATAGAGACAGAGAGGGAAAGTGAGAAAGCAGGCCGCCAGGTCCAGGACCGACTGTGGTCAGTCATGTTAGAGTCTAGCACCTCAACCACCATGCCACCTGCCGGCCCCCCTTTTTAAAACATTTTATTGTGGACAATTGCAAAGTTCGTTAAGTGATGTAACAAACTTTTTAATGTATTCATCAGTTAGCCTTTATTTTTTTTTTTTAAGAATTATCTTATTTAATTTTATTTATTATTACTATTTTTAAATTTGACCAGAGAGACAGGGGTGGGTGGGGGAAGTGAGAAAGCCAGCTGCCAGGTCTAAGACTTGAACCACAGTCAGCCATATGGGAGTCCAGCGTCTTAATTCACCACGCCACCCGCCGGCCCCATTCATCAGTCAGTTTTTTATCAATTATTAATGTATAGTTTACTTTTCATTCTTTTTCTTTCTTTTAAGAGTTACTTTATTTATTAATTTTAATTTTAATTTTACCGGAGAGAGGCAGAGAGAGAAGAGCAAGCGAGCAAACCACCAGGTCCAGGACTTGAACTTTGGTCGGCCTTGTTAGAGTTCAGTACCTTTAACTACCATGCCACCTGCCGGCCCTTCTACCTTTTATTCTTTTTGGAATAGTTTTGAGCAAATCTTTAGACATGAGAGCATTTCATCCGTAAGGTATTTCAGTATGTATTTCTAAAAGATGAGTGTTTTTGTTTTCTTTTTTAAAAAGTTATTTGTTCTAGGGCACGTGTGCTTCCAGGAGAGAGAGAGACACCCAGTGAGAGGAAAAGTGAAAAATCACCCTCAGGAGAATGGCCACACTGCAGTCCCTTCTCCTCCATTTTCCTCCTGGCATCTTACACACACACACACACACACACACACACACACAGACTATACACACACATGCCTGGTGTGATTTTGAAGCCTCTGGGTCTAGGACTAGAACCACAGTCAGCTGTGTGGCAGTCCAGCTACATAACTGCTGTGCTATCTGCTGGTCCCAGATTAGAGATTTTTTAAAAATAAAAACAAAAATAATACCATTATCATACCAATATAATAGTTCCTTAATTTATTTCCAGTCTGTGTTTAAATGAAGGGAAATGATTGTTTCATAAATGATTTGCTAGGGTTAGGAACAAATATGACATATATTAATTGGTATCTCTTCTGTATCTTAACATTTCTAGAGAATTCTGTTCGTGTCATAGACAGTTGTTTGCTGAATGATAGAATAAACTTGTTATGCATTTAGGTTCGGCGTTGGGCTATCCTGACTGCCAGGAATCTGGGGAAAGTCGACAGAGATGATTATTACGATTTACAGGAAGTTTTAACTTGCCTTTTTAAAGTCATCGAGTTGGGGCTTCTAGAAAGTCCCGACATTTATACTTCTTCTGTCCTCGAGAAGGGTAAACTGATTCTTCTGCCCTCTCACATGTACGATACCACCAACTACAAAAACTACTGGTTAGGTGAGTATTGTTCCTTCCTTTATATAATAATCTGCCTCAGGTTCTTTTGGTTGTTCTGAAAAGGAAATGCTCTCTTTTGGTGATCTGATTGCTAAATACAGGGTTTCAGAGTTCTGTCTGTTCTGCCTTTGGCTTAGTCATTACATATTATTTATTATTTTATTTGGAGAGATTTTTGCTATAGGTTGTGTGCACATGCCAGAGAGACAGAAAGTGAGAAGTCATCCCCTGGGGGGATGGCCACTCCGTAGTCCCTTCTCCATTCTCCTTTCGGGGTTTCAGGCATACACACACACACACACACACACACACATACACACAAGTGCCCAGTGAGAGTTTTAAGCCTCCAGGTTTGGGACACAGACCGTGGTTGACTGCTTGGGAGTCCAGCAAAGTAACTATTCCAACATCTGCTGTTCCCCATATTTTATTACTAGACATTTCCTCAAAACCTGTTATAAGAGGTACATTTTCAAGCACTGGCAAATTAATACTTTGTTAAAGCCATAGTATTGGGTCGTCTGGAAAATAATGGTGCATTTTTGCATGGAAAAACATAAAATATGACTTTCCTGACAACCTGATAGAGTAACAAATAGTATAGCCGTTGACTTGAGTAGGGTTTGATCATTCATTTCTCTCTTTCATTGTGTAACATACTTTCTGATAGAAAGAGAGGTCAGTATTGTTTATAGGTTTTGTTTTTTTTAAGAATAATTTATTTAAGTTTTATTTATTCTCATTATTCTTTAATTTGCCATAGGGAACATGTACTAACCAGAGAGGCGAGACAGAGAGAGAAAGAGGGAAAGTGAGAAAGCAAGCCACCAGGTCCAGGGCTTGAACCATGGTTGGCCATGTGGTAGTCCAGTGCCTTTAACCACCACACCACCTGCCAAGCCCTTGTTTATAAGTTTTATACTGACTTAAAGTAACGTGTTTCATAGATTTCAGATCTTAAGGTCATGTGTCATAGTGGCAGTGATTTATTTCTTAGTGGTACATAAAGTATTCATTGTACATCTTAAAATTAAAGGCTTCTTAGACCGATAAAATATAACTTATGTGGTAGTCACCTTAGAAATTGTGTTCTAACCACGTAGTACCTTCTCCCCTTTTACACTTCAGTGGGTTTGAGGTTCTATTGTGTGGCAACAGTTATATATGAATATTAGACTTACATGTTAGAGTGGAAACGGTTTTGCTTCCTCTTCCTGCCTTTTATTTATTTATTTATTTATTTAGTTTTGTCCACAACTAAACTAGAGAAGGCATTAGAAGAATTATTATTTCATCATTTCAATAAAACTATCATAAATGATCTTACAGGTATTTGCATGTTGCTGACCATTCTTGAGGAACAAGCCATGGATTCGTTATTGCTGGGCTCAGACAAACAAAATGACTTTATGCAATCAATACTTCACACCATGGAGAGGCAGTCGGATGGTAATAAGCTCTACTGTGAATGCTTTTGAGCACCATGATGATGACATGCTTGTACAATGCTTGCGTCACTGCCGGAAGTGGGGTGTATGGTGTAGAAAAAAGAAAAATTAACTTTCATGGTTTAGGTCACAAATTCAGACTTAATTTGAAAGTACCTTTGGATTTTAATTCAGTACTTTTCTTTCATAGAAGAAGGGATGAAGCCCAGGGAAGTTAACCTGATATTTCATGTTGAAAAAGTTAGTGGTAGAATGAAAATCAGAACCTCAAGGAGTCCTGTTTGCAATGACTTGGTAGTTGACACTAGAGGGAAAACCCTACCCTACCTTCTCAACGTCCTGCTTGTTGTCTCCCTTTGCATGCTTTTTGGTTTTTCCTTGCTTCTCTGTTGTCCAGCAGTGGAGCCATCCGCCCACATGTGGTGATTTTAATAAATTCAGGTTTTCAGCGCCAGCACGTGGTGCAGTGGGCAAGGTGCTGGGCCCCACGTGGCAGGCTGTGAGATTCTGGTCCTGAACCTGGCAGCTTGGAAATACACTCGGCATGTTGTGCATATGCACCCCACAGTCCTGAGAAGAGAGTGAAGAAGCAGCTTTCACATGGCCATCTCCCCTGGGGGGTGCTTTCTCACTTTTCCTTTCCTTCTTTTTCTTTCTCTTTGGTAAGTGCATGTGTCCTATAGCAAGAAACAAAAAGATAAAAACAAAAACAAAAACAAAAAACCTTCATATTTTCAGTCCCATTAGCTGTATTTCAGCACTAAATCGCTACATGTTCCTGGTGGCCACTGTATTGCATAAGGCAGATACAGAACATTTTCATCATCATAGAAAATTGTCTTTTTTCGAAGAGGTTTTCGCTGTAGGGCACGTGCGCTCGCCAGACAGAGACGGAGAGACAGAAAGTGAGAAATCACTCCCCAGGGGGATGGCCACGCCACAATCCCTTCTCCTCCATTATCCTCTCGGGATCTTGGGCATGCATGCACACGTGCCTGGCGTGAGCTTTAAGCCACCGGGTCTGGGCTGTGAACTGCAGTCAACTACGTGAGAGTCCAGCGACATAGCCATTATGCTAACTGCTGGTTCCGACAACTGTCTTAGTAGTGCTCTAGATACAGAAAATGAGGCCTAAAACTTGTCATGTTTATTATTAGATCTGAGCTGTTGGATTTATCAGACTGATCATTGAGGATCTGTGTACTTAAATTGTTTCTCATCTTATTTATGAGGAAGTGAATTGGTAAGGACTAAATATGCCAGATCCTATGAAAACATAATGAATATAATTTTTTCCTCTCATTCATTTTTCTTCAGGCAACTTGACTGTGGATATAAACTCATTTATGGGTAATTCTAAAATAACTATATTAATGTTATTTTTCTTTTTTTTTTAATGGCATCTACTTATTTGCTAGATATTCCTATGGTTATGGCTATTTTATTTCCCAACATATAGTGCTCACGGTGTTCATTCTTCCCTGGGCCTGACTGCATATATAATTCTGTGCTTTCTGTTAATCCAGCTCCCCTACCTCCTTCAAAGTGAGTTACTTTTTAAAGAAACCTTTTATAACTGCCTTCACATGTTTTCTTTGTTATTTGAAAACTCACTAAAGATAAGACAACTGTGTTCACTGCAGTGGAAGGCACAGAAATACATGAGAAGGTCTACACAAGTGCCTGATAAAACAGAGTCCAAGAAGGCCTGAGGGAAGTAGAGCTACAGATTGTAGGTGGACTAAGCAATATTATCAACGTCCTCATTAGTCAGTGAGGTAGAGCACTCTCCTCAGAGGAGCACCGTGGAAGAGCAAATGGCTGGGCAATGTTTAATGCAGGAAGAGGCATTTAAGCTTGACTTTAAAAAAAAAAGAATTATTTTATTATTTTTGCAATAGGGCATGACTTTTAAAGTTGGATAGAATTTTAATAGGTGTTGCTTCAGGTATGGCAGACTGGGCGAGGAGGTGTTGTTTACATAAACTGTTTAGTTGCCCATTAAACAATTTGTTCATCATTAAATTTTCTTCTTCTTTTTTTTTTTGAGAGATTTTTGCTATAGGGTGCATGCACTCATTGAAGAGACAGAGGCAGAGAGACAGAAAGCAAGAAATCACCCCTCAGGGGGATGACCATGCTGCAATCCCTTCTCCTCTTGGGTTTTTGGGCACTCATGCACGTGTGCTGTGAGTTTTAAGCCACTGGATCTTGGACTCTAATCAAGTATTGAGTCGAGTATGTGGGAGTATGTGGGAGTCCAGCAACATAACCATTGTGTGATCTGCTGGTCCCTCCTCATTTTTTTTTTTTTTTAACAGAGGTATTATAGTATCTAAAAAACAATTTTAAAAATTTGCCAGCTTTTAAAAATCTGTCTTTTAAAAAGAAAAAACCTCAAAAAACCCTGTGTCTTTAAGGGTTAACAGAGCTTTAGTTTAAATTATTGTTGCTTTGCCTTCATTTTTATTGCTAACCTGATAAAAAATACTTAATTCTCAATTTTTTCCCTTCATTGTTTTGTAATGCAGCAGTTTATCTATTTTATTTTAGATGATAGTGTGGATCCTTTTTGGCCAGCATTACATTGTTTCATGGTGATCCTGGACCGTCTTGGATCTAAGGTCTGGGGTCAACTTATTGATCCTATTGAGGCATTTCAAACTATTATCAACAACATGAGCTACAATAGAGAGATCCAGAATATACGGAGCAGCTCTGCAAGGTTAGTTCTGCTAACATCAGTATTTAAAACAGTCTCTGTAAAGAAACGTGCTGCAGCTGACTTCCACAAGAGGGTTTTCTTCTTTTTCTTTTTTTTCTTCATTTCAGTAATTTCTGTTTATTCTTAATATTTAAGGACCAAGTTAGAACCAGAGTCGTATTTGGATGATATGGTGACTTGCAGCCAGATTGTATACAATTATAATCCTGAAAAGACTAAAAAGGTATAAAACATTTTCAAAATTCAAATGCTATTTTATTGCTTTTATGTTGTGTAGATAGTGTTTTACATAATTAATTGAACTGCTGGTTTTATGATAAGTAGCTGTTTTGTATCAACTGCTATGTGAAGGCCTTCTGATGTAGCTGATGTATTATGCGTGGAGGATGGACTGTAACTGCACTGTGCACACATCAGAAAATTAACTTTTAAGTGCATTTAGGGAAGATGGAAAGTTGGGAAGGGGAACAATAAGTGGCATGACCAAAAATCAAAATCAACCAACGAAAAGAAGGCCCAGAGTACATAAAGGTGGTCTAAACCTGCCTTCCCATAAAATTTTTTAAAAAAGAATTACTTTATTAAACTAACTTTTTTTTCCTCCCTCCCTCCCTTTCTTTCTCTTTTCTTTTTTGCCTTTCTCTTTCTCTCTTTCTTTCTCTCTCTTTCCTTCCTTTTTTCTTTCTTTCGTTTTGATTTGACCAGAGAGAGAGAGAGAGAGAGAGAGAGAGAGATGGGAAGTGAGAAAGCAAGCTGCCAGGTTCGGCACTAGAACTGCGACCAGCCATGTGGGAGTCCAGTGCTCTTAACCACCACGCCACCTGCCAGCCCCAACCTTCCCATAAAACTTTAACCTCACAGTTGAACTTCCATAATTTCTTGAGATTTGCATATTAAAAACAATATGTAGTAAACCAAAATAGGAAAATTGAGAAAGAAATTTTTCTCTTAAAGCTGTGGGTGTTAAACCTATCTAAATGGTGCTTTTGTTGGTATTTCGTTTTAGGATTCAGGGTGGAGATCAGCCATTTGCCCAGATTATTGTCCTAACATGTATGAAGAAATGGAAACATTAGCCAGTGTACTTCAATCAGATATTGGTCAAGACATGCGTGTACATAACAGCACATTTTTGTGGTTTATACCTTTTGTTCAGTCCCTGATGGATCTCAAGGATTTGGGTGTGGCTTACATTGTAGAAGTTATTCATCATCTGCACTCTGAAGTCAAAGACGCCCTTAACCAGACAGATGCTGTGTGTGACAAAGTCACTGAATTTTTTCTTTTAATTTTGGTGTCAGTGATTGAACTGCATAGAAATAAAAAATGTTTGCATTTGCTATGGGTTAGTTCCCAGCAGTGGGTGGAAGCTGTCGTAAAATGTGCCAAACTTCCTACCACTGCATTTGCACGAACTTCTGAGAAGTCATCTGGAAACTCCAAAGGAACAGCAATGATATCATCCCTGTCGTTGCATTCAGTGCCGTCTAACTCTGTACAGCTCGCTTGTGTACAGCTGATTAGAAGTCTCCTTAAAGAAGGTTATCAGCTTGGGCAGCAAACTCTCTGTAAGCGATTCTGGGATAAACTTAACTTATTCCTTCGAGGAAATTTATCTCTAGGCTGGCAGCTGACCAGTCAGGAAACACATGAGTTACAAACTTGTTTAAAGCAAATTATTAGAAACATAAAATTCAAAGCACCTCAGTGTAACACTTTCATGGATCTGACTCCTGCAGCTAAGACCCCTCCTATATCTTACAATAAAGAAGAAAGTGAACAGATAGGGAAGAAGATTAAAAAAGATGTGTACCACCTGGAAAATTCCAGCCCAGCATTTTCTAAAAAACCAATGAAAGCAGACACACATCAAATACAAGGAAGTATATCGATCAAAGCAAATAATATCATAGATGATGATCACAAGCCAAATTATAAAAAGAATTTGAAACTGGAAGATCATTTCACAGCTGATGCATGCTTACAGCAGAGTAGTAAAAGCCTTTTTACTGAAAGAGTACAAGATAAAATAAGTCCAGGGGAGCAGAAGTCTGTAAAAGAAAATTCCTCGTATACACAACAGAATTATACCAGAAATGGTTCAGAAAGGGAACGTGACAGAGAAATAATAATGTCTGCGCATTTGTTGACTGATTCTAGTATTGATTGTCTGGAAAAAGTGTCCATATCAAATGAAGATTTCTCTGGAAAGGATCATGTTGTTAGTAAAACATTTAAACCGAAAAGTAAGGCAGAGAAAGAGGAAATCTGTGCACAGTTATCACATGTAATAAGGAAGCAACGCAAGAAGAACACCGTGGTCAGTAACGCCATCACTTTAGAGGAAAATCTGAGTGTACCTGACAGAGAGAATTTCTATTCAAGGAAAGATACAGAAGTTCAGAAAGGAGATGACTTCATCCGCAATTCATCTTTAAACCCTAAAGGTGTTTTAGATGATAATAAAAATGGAGAACAAAAATCCCAAAACAGTTTATTGCTAAAAAAGAAGCAATTAAAGACTGAAGAGTTAGGTATTTTCTCGTCTCATGAAAACACTTGTCAAAGGCGTGTTGTTGATGATAGAGGTTTAGTCTCATTTATAGAAATGACCAATACTTCAGTGAGAATGTCTCCTTTAAAAGATCCCGTGACTGTAGTTGAATCAAGAGATGAGGAAGTAAGTAAGAGTACCGGTCTGGTTTCTTCCACCTTGACAAGAGAACAAGTCCCTGGCGTCAGTCCTGGATCTGACACTTTAACGGATTCTCAGGTAGACAGAGACCTCCACAAATTATCCTTAATAGCCCAAGCCAGTGTAATTCAGTTTCCATCTGATTCAACTCAGAAAAGCTCATCCCAGCTGCAAAGAAAAGTAAAAGATGATAAAAGACGTTTCACAGCTAACCAGATTGATGATGGAGATGTCTGTTGTGGACAGGTTATTATTATTTCAGATTCTGATGATGAAGATGGGGATGAAAGAATAGTGGGTTTTGAGAAGGACATTAAACAGGACAAAATACACTCTGAGATCGAATGTCCAGAGCGGCATGTGTCAATAGATAATACTCACGTGGAAAAGAAGCTAATAAAGGAAGAAGAAACAAAATCCCCTTTTGAGGATTCTGAGTCTCAGGTTTTTGAGTTTGAAAGTCAAAAGGAGGTGTTTTCTGTTTGGCAAGATCATAAACTAGGTAATAATTCAGTGCAAGAGAATCAGAAAGGTCTACATTTGAATTATAAGGCTGATACCACAAATGATTGGGGCTATAATAAAGATTATGTCTCTGAAAAGGTTATTAAAAAAGTAGCAGAGGACATTGAAGAACATGCAGAACCAGACAGTAGTATTTCTGTTGAAGAGTTGTGTGAAATTGAAATAAAACCTAAGAGAAAACGATTCGAGAAACCTGTGGCTGAACATCCTCGAAGGCCTTCATCTTCTGTCAAAAGTGAGGACCATTCTGAAGTTCTTAGTGAGAGGGATCTTACTGAAAATGATGTAAAAAGTGTAGACAAAAGTGCCACAACTCCTAGTTCAAGTATTCAGAGAGCCACTAAAGAAGCGTCACTAAAGAAGTCTACTCCAAAACCTCGTACTTACTCAAAACCTGCTAGAAGAGCCCCACTTTCTAAAACCCCTAAGAAAACACATTCAGATTCCAAAAAAGGGCAGAATAAAAGTCCAAATTACCTAAGCTGTAGAACAACTCCTGCTGTAGTGCCGCCAAAGAAATTGCGCCAGTGTCCTGAACCAACTTCAACAGCCGAGAGGCTTGGTCTGAAAAAGGGTCCTCGTAGGGCATTTGAGTTGTCCCAGAGATCTTTAGAGTGTTTAGTTCAGTTACGTGACCATGGCAAAGCGGTTGGAGTAGTTGATACTCGAAAAAAAGCTAAATTAATCTCTCCTCAGGCTCTGTCTGTCAGAAATAATAAGGACCTGCTGACAAGTCAAGATCCTCCGTCACGAAAGCAGTCGAGACCTAAGTCACAGCCGAAGAGACAGAAGCTTTTTAATTACGAAAGTGTAGATGCTGCAAGAGCAGGACCACAGCCAGCACCGAATTCTGACACCTTTGTACCAGAATCTGATAGATCAGATTATAAAGGAGAAACTGAAGTGCTTGCCAACAGTAACGGGAAGCAGTTACTAAAATGTATGCTTTCTGAGCCGGAGACTGTAAAAGCGAAGTGTGCTGCTCAGGTGACTGATGATACTTGCCTTTTGAAGCACTGTGATTCGATAGTGTTAAATGGAACAGTGCCAGCAAAGCAAATGCTGGGCTCTACTTCCGAGGACCTGGACCCTCTAGGCGGAGGTAATCTAACGGGACGTCGTTTAGAGGAGGCAACTTTGCAAGAGGGAGAATCTGAATCCAACAGCGATATGGAGGATGACAATTTATTTTTAACTCAAAATGATCCTGAAGATATGGATATATGTTCACAAATGGATAAAATCATTGAAGTAGTTCATGGAAAAGATCCATTTCAGGTAGGAGACTCTGTAAGTCGGCCTCAGTTGGAATCTTTGAGTGGCATAAAGTGTAAGTACAAAGATTGTGTTGAAACTCCGAAAGACCAGGGTGAGTACTGCTCAAGACACTCTGAAGTGAAAGCGGCAGACGAAGATGTGTTCCGGAAACCTGGTTTACCTCCTTCTGCATCCAAACCTCAGAGACCTTCCACCACTAAGGTTTTTAGCTCAAGTAGTACTTCCCGAACTGCTAATCTTTCCAAGTCTCTGGAACATATGTCAACACTTCCATCAGCTCTAAAAAATAAATTGAATGGCGTACAGTCTACTTTGAAAGTCTCACAGCCTGCTTCCCTAGTATCTCAAAAGCCAGTGGGTGAAGTGAAGAGTCCGTGCAGTGTTCTTCATCCTCAGACTCCAAGTACTTCGAACAGGCAAGGTTACAAACTTCCATTTGGTGAAAGCAAATCCTTCTCAGCCTCTTCTCCAGTAAGCATTTTGTCAACACAGTCTATCTCTGAGACCTTTGTTAAAGAGGTCTTAAAATGGAAGTATGAGATGTTTTTGAACTTCGATCAGTGTGGGCCCCCAGCAAGTCTTTGTCAGTCCATCTCAAGACCTGTGCCTGTCAGATTTCAAGATTGTGGAGATTATTTTAATGTTTTTTTCCCTTTGATGATACTGAATACTTTTGAAACAGTAAGTATATGTTTCGGTTGTACGCCCCTCCAGACTTTCCAGTTTTCTCCTTTTCTTTACCATGCGGAGTAATAATTAGAATACGGTTATAGTAATTGACCTTTTTGATTTAGGGGTTGATTTTAGATTTCATTTTGAACAAACATTTATGCCAGCCATAGTTCCAGATGCTGGTGTTAAAGAGGAATCTTATTTTCTTCTTCTTCTTTCTTTCTTTATTTTTAGAGAGCTTGTTGCTGTAGGGCACATGCGCTTGCCAGAAAGATAGAACGTGAGAAATCCCCCCCTCCCGAGGGGATGGCCATGTCACAATCCCTTCTCCTGGGATTTTGGGCATGCATACACACTTGTCCAGCATGAGTTTCAAGCTTCCAGGTCTGGGACTTTAACCTCGGTTGGTCATGTGGGAGTCTAGCAACCTAACTGTTATGCCTTCTGCTGGTCCTAAGAGGAAGCATTCTTAACCTCTGTCCCCCAGAAGCGGACAAAGGAACAGATGTTTATCCATGCATAGGTAAGAGAAGGCTTCTCAGAGGAGTTAAGTCTCCCATCTATATTTTCTTTTTTTTTTTTTTAGAGGTTTTTGCCATAGGGTGTATGCGCTCGCCAGACAGAGAGAGACAGAGACAGAAAGCGAGAAATCACCCCCGGGGGGATGGTCACGCTGCAGTCCCTTCTCCTCCATTCTCCTCTCGGGATCTTGGGCAGACCCGCATGCGCACGCACGCCCAGCGTGAGTTTTAAGCCGCCGGGTCCGGGACGCGAACCGTGGTCGACTACGTGGGAGTCCAGCGACATAGCCATTACGCTAACTGCTGGTCCCTCCCATCTATGTTTTCTACTTTTTTTTTTTAAAGGTTTTTGCCTTAGGGCACATATACGCTGGAGGGGGAGGGAGACGGACAGTGAGAGGGAAAGTGAGAAATTTCCCAGAGGAGTGGCTACACTACAGTCCCTTCTCCTTCATTCTCCTCCCAGGATCTTGGACATGCACACGTATGAGCCCAGTGTGAGTTTGAAGCCACTAGGTGTGCGACTTGAACCATGGTTAGTCATGTGGGAGTCCAGTGATGTAACTACTACGTCATCTGCTGGTCCTGTCTACATTCTTTTTTAAGTACCTAAACCTTTACTGTAGATTTCTTAAGGTAGCAAAGAGTAAATTATACCAGTAAATCTGAGTTTCTCTTATGTGTGTGTCTTTCTAATTTCTTACTCCCGTAGCACCTGCTCTCTCCTTGTAACTGCCTCCCCAACCCCAGCACATCTCCTTCTGGCTCTTTTGTCCTTATTTCTCTTATCAGGTTTGTCAAAGAAAATATAGGATTCCCAGTTAGATTTGAACTTCATAAAAACAGTGAGTAGTTCTTTAAGCATTGAGTTCCTTTTTGAGCGATGTTTTTGGCATTTTCAAGATAGGGAGGAATTGGGAGTATTTTTCCCTTTTTCTTTTTTTGGCTATAGGTTGTGTGTGCTTGCCAGAGAGAGGGAAAGTGAAAAAGCAGCCCCGCCCCCAGCAGATGCCACACCACAGTCACTTCTCTTTCATTCTCCTCTCAGTACCCTGGACACCCACATGTGTGCATGTGCCTGCCATGTTTCTCAACCCTCCAGGTCTGAGCCTTGAACCATAGGGTTGGCCATGTGGGGTCCAGCTGCCTTAACTACCACACCACTGGTTAGCCCCGTTTGTACTTTTTCACATTTCTTAAAAAATAACAATGATAAAAATTTGGCATATGCAGGGACCAGCAGGTGGCAGTATGGTTACATTGCTGGATTTCCACATAATCAGTCACGGTTCAGGTCCCGGATCCAGCAGCTTAAAATTCACACAGGATGTATATGCGTGCATGCCCAGAGTCCTGAGAGGAGAATGGAGGAGAAGGGATTGTGGCTTGGCCATACCCCCAGGGGGTGATTTCTCTGTCTCTCCAGTAAGTGCATAAACCCTGTAGCGGAAATTTAAAAAATATTGTTATTTATTCATTTATTTTGATTTGATCAGAGAGAGACAGAGAGAGAGAAAAATTGAGAAAGCAAGCCACCAGTTCTGGGACTTGAACTGTGGTTGGCCACGTGGGAGTGTCCAGCACCTTAACCACCGTACCACCTGCAGGCCCCCAAGCCCTATAGCAGAAATCTCTTTTTGAAAAAAGCTTGGCATATGTAGTAAGATTTTTTAAAAAGGAATTCTTTATTTAATTCTATCTGTTATTTTTTAAATTTGATCAGAGAGAGACAGAAAAAGGAAAAGGGAGAAAGCAAGCCGCCAGGTCAGGGACTTGAATCATTGTTGGTCATGTGGCAATCCAGTGCCTTTAACCACCATGCCATGTGCCGGTCCCTGCAGTAAGATTCTTAAAAACAAATCAGGAGGGACCAGCAGTTGGCATAGTGGTTATATCGCTGGACTCCCTCATGGCCAACTGTGATTCATCAGACCCAGATGCTTGAAACTCAGTGCCAGGCGTGTGCTCATGCATGCCCAAGATCCCTAGAAGAGCATGGAGGAAAAGGGATTGCAGTGTGGCCGTCCCCCACTGGGGGGGTGATTTCTTGCTTTCTCTCTCTGTCTCCAGCGAGTGCATGTGCCCTATAGCAAAAATCTCTCTCTTAAACTAAACAAAACAAATCAAAGGATGCATTCACTTAATAGATACTTTGGTTCCTTGTGTGTGCCAAGTACTCTTTCTGGCCTGAGAGGTAGAGTGGCGCATAAGAGAGATGAAGTTTCTGGCCTCTGGAAGCGACCATTTCAGATTGGAGTAAGGGCTCTTGTATGATCTAAACAGAGGAGTCAGGGCACTTCCCTCGGAAAGATAGGCTTCTGTGCGCAGATGGCGTTTGTACTGAGACGGGATGAATAGAAGGAAATCAGCTGTGGGCAGTGTACTGAAGAGAGAAGGGAGTACAAAGACACTAGCGGCCATAAGCGTAGTGTATTGAAGGGAGAATAAGTGTATTGCACAGAGCGGGGCAAGCCTACCAAGAAAGATAATAGTCAAGTGCCTTGTCAATTTGTGCCCAGAAAAGTGACTTTTAAAAAGCTTGAGTTGGTACTTTTTTCTTTTTCTTTTTACAAAGTTTTTGCCATAGGGCATGTGTGTTGGTGGGAAGAGACAGAGGGAAAGGAAGAATCACCCTGCAGGGAGACAGCCACACTAAAGTCCCTCCTCCAGCCTCCTCTTGGGATTTTTGAACATATATGTGCACCTGCTCAGTGTGATTATCAGGCCATGGGTCTGAAACTAAAACTGCACAGTCAGCCATGTGGGACCTAATGCCTTAACCTCTACACAGCCTGCTGGCCCCAAATTAATCTAAAACTTGATGTAGTTCAAGTTAAAATTCCAGCAGAATTCTTTTGAGGAAATTAATAAAATGTATAAGGAAGAACAAAATATTAAGACATTTCAAAGCCCTATGTAGTATAGGTAAATGTGAAGCTAGCACAAGAACAAGCAGTGACAAAAAATGCAATCCCTTTGGTTCCTTAAAATGAACTACTTTCACGTATAGGGACACGTTATAAGGTAAATAGGGCACCTTAAATCAGTAGGAAAATGAGAGACCATGAGCTAGGTGGTACTGGCCTGCAGCACTGGGGAAAGGATTAGTACTTTTCAGCTCATAAACAAGCGCACATGTATTTGAAAGATTAAAAACTACACAAGCTGGGACTAGCAGGTAGCATGGAGGTTAAGGTGCTGGACACTCCCATATGTCCGACCACGGTTAAAGTCCCTGGCCTGGTGGCTTGCTTTCTCGTTTTTCCTCTCTCTCTCTGTGTGTCTCTGATCAAATTAAAAAAAATAAATGAATGAAAAAAAAAAATTTAAAAACCCCTCCAAAAAAAAAAAAAGAAATTAGCTGATGGAAAGAAGTAGAAACACTCCACAGTATATCAAGAACTTTTATACAATAAATGAACATCAGAAATATACATAAAAGTCTAAGAAACAACACATAGGCAGTCACAAAAGGGAAACACTTGAGTGTTATAATACCACCTTTATGTAAGTGGTATTTTATTTTATTTTTTTTAAAGAGTTATTTAATTTTATTTATTCATTCATTTATTTTAATTTGGCCAGAGAGAAACACAAAGAGTGAGAGAGGGAAAGTGAGAAGGCAAGCCACCAGGTCTGGGACTCAAACCGTGGTTGGCCACGTGGGAGTGTCCAGCACCTTAACCACCACGCCACCTGCTGGTTCCCTGTAAGTGGTATTTTATGAAGTATTACTGAAAGCAAGAAGTAAAGGAAATAACCTAGTGATGAACAAGTGTGTGATCCTGGGTGTATATTCACCAGAAGAACCTAGATAATTGTCATCCCTGAGAGTTCTGAGTATGTTATTCATAGGGTTGTTTATGGAGTTGGAGGTGGTTAAGAGAAAGGATGAGTGAATAAAGCAGTTTCATACTAGGAAATTCTGGACAAAAGTGTTAACAGAGGTAGGGAGAAGCCTATTTATAGTATAATTCTTTTTTTTTTTAAATTTACAGAGTGAGTGAGTGTGCATTGGAGACAACCAGAGGGGAAGTGGGAACACACTCCTTCCTCCATAGGGAATGGTTGTGCCTCAGTCCTTTCTCCGTCTCTCCTCTCAGGATCTTGGGCACACATGCACGCAGCATGTTTTTTGCGCCACTGGCTCTGGAAATGAGCCATGAGGCCATCCCTGTCAGATCCAGCTGCTTTAACCATGCTATAGGCTGTCCCATGTAATACTGTTTGTGTAAATTACACACATCCTCCCCATGACTGGATTTTTTAGCCAGACAGTACAAGGGAGTGCCTAGGGCAAAAATGTAACGGAAGTAAAAGCAGGGATCAAAGAGAAAGAGCCTTGCGCAGGCTTAGACGGCGCCTCACAAACTGAAGATGTGAATGAATTCTTTGGAGATCAGAAGGGAGGACCAGCAGGTGACATAATGGCTATACCCCTGGACTCCCATGTAGTCAACTGCAGTTTGCATCGGTTTGAGTCCTGGACCCGGTGACTTTAAAACTCACGCTGGGTGTGTGTGTGCATGTGTGCCCCAAATCCTGAGGAAAATGGAGGAGTAGGGATTGTGGTGTGGCCATCCCCCTTTGGGGTTTATTTCTCACTTTCTGTCTCTGTCTCTCTGGCGAGTGCATGCACTGTATAGCAAAAAATGTCTTAAAAAAAAAAGGGAGAGGAAAAATAGCAGCAAGGAAGTAAACATTAAGTTTGATGAATGGTGATTTTGGTGAAGAGGTTAAGACAGAAGCCAGGTATAAAATGAATAGAAAGATGTTTTGAAAATTTATGTGATAGGGAACCAGCAGTTAGCGAAATGGCTATGTCGCTGGACTCCCATGTAGTTGACCGCAGTTCATGTCCCGGCCCTGGTGGCTTAAAACTCACGCCGGGCGCGTGTGCGTGCGTACCCAAGATCCCGAGAGGAGAATGGAGGAGAAGGGATTGTGGCGTGACTATCCCCCCCTTGGGGAGGGATTTCTCGCTTTCTGTCTCTATGTCTCTCTCTGTCTGGTGAGCGCACGCGCCCTCTAGCGAAAATCTCTCCAAAAAAAAAAAAATTATGTGATAGAGGGGAACAGAAAAATGGTAATTGCATAGTGATTTGGAGACAATTCTTACTTGTTATGATTTTTTTTTAAGAGACATTTTTGCTGTAGAGACAGAGAAAGTGAGACATCATTCCTCCAGGGGAAGGATGGCCACATCACTATCCCCTTCTCTTGGGATTTTGGGCACACGTGCACACACACCCAGTGTGGGTTTTAAGTTGCCTGGTCTGGAACTCGAACCGCAGGGGACTGGGTGGGAGTCCAGAGACGTAACTATTATGCCATCTCCTGGTCCCCAGTGTTTGTGGTTTTTAAGAGAGAGCTTAAGGTGTGTGCTGATGAGTATGAGCAATGAGCTGAAAGAAATTGATATAAAAAGGATATTTCCAGTTTAAGTCCTAAAGAGGAGAAGAGGGATCCAGAACACTAATCAGTGAGCTTTGCCTTAGGCTTTGGTAAGGAAAAGGGAAGGTGATGTGGTATGAATATTAGCTTTTGTTTGTTTTATACTTAGTTCTCGTGTATAAGGCAAGGGCAGTCTTGATTATTGAGAGCCACTGCTGCAGGAAATCCTTTTCCTCATTGTTACCTGTTGCTTTAATGATTAATTTTTTATTCTTTTTAAAGAATTATTTTATCTAGCTTTATTATTATTTAATTTGACCAGAGAGGGTCAGAGAGAGAGAGGGAAAGTGAGAAATCAAGCTGTTAGGTCCAGAACTTGAACCATGGTCAGCCACGTGGGAGTTCAGCGCCCTCAACCACCACCCCACTGCCAGCCCTGTAGTTTTTATTCTAAAGATAATTTTCTTGGGAATGCAATCATTTCGTTGTAACCAATATATTCAGTTTATTTGGAAATGTTTTTATAAACAATATTAAAATGTATGTTCTAAAAAAAATTAAATTCCAAATTATTAGGAACATTTTGTTTTGTAGAATAATCCATTTTTCGTTATTATTGGGGGGAAAGATGAGGCCTGACTTGATAGGTATCTTTCTTTTCTCTGAAATGAGAGAAAAAGAACAAGTTATGCTTTTTAAGGTTTTGCCTTAGAGTGTATACACTCAAGCGACAGTGAGAAAGAAATCCCCCCCCCCCCCAGGGGGAATGGCCACACAGCAGTCCCTTCTCTATTCTCTTCCCGAGATCTTGGGCACACACACGCATGAGCCTGGTTTGAATTTGAAGCCACTGGCTCAGTACTCGAACTACAGTCTCTCCAGTGATGTAACCGCTATGCCATCTGGCCCAGAGGAACAGATTTTTTTTAAGAGAGATTTTTTGCTGTACGGCACTTGCACTTGCCAGAGAGACAAAGAGAAACAGCAAGAAATCACCCCTCGGGGGGATGCCACACCACATTCCCATATCCCCATTCTCCTTTGAGAGATTTGGACACGCACACACCTAGCATGCGTTTCAGGCCTCCAGGTCCGCGACTCACACTGCGGTCAACCATGTGAGTCCAGGGATGTGACCGTTATTCCAGGTGCTGGCCTGGAGGAAGAAAATTTTTATTTAAAAAAATTTAAGTTTAGGGACCAGCAGTTAGCGTAATGGCTATGTCGCTGGACTCCCACATGGTCGATTGCGGTTTGCATCATGGACCCGGTGGCTTAAAACTCACGCCGGGCACGTGTGTGTGCATGCCCAAGATCCCGAGAGGAGAATGGAGGAGAATGGATTGCGGCATGGCCATCCCCCTGGGGGGGTGTTTCTCGCTTTTTGTCTCTCTATCTCTCTCTGTCTGGTGAGCGCACTCGCCCTATAGCAAAAACCTCTCAAAAAAAAAAAAATTTAAGTTTAAATAACCACTGTAGTTGATGGCTATGGAATACAATGAGGTAGTTCTAGATAATTTTACTAAACTGCCACAGATTAGTTTTTTTTCTTTTTTGGGGTGAGAGATTTTTGCTATAGGAGGGTGCACATGCTCGCTGGAGAGACAGAGACAGAAAGCGAGAAATCACCCCCTGGCGGGGAGGCCATGCCACAGTCCCTTCTCCTCAGGGTTTTGGGCACACATTCACACGTATCTGGTGTGCGTTTTAAGCTGCTGTGTCCATTACTCAAATCACAATTGTGGCTGGTCGTATTGGGAGTCCAGCAACATAACCATCACACCGTTTTTAGTTTCTATCAGAATCTGGGTTCTAAATTTTACTGTTGCTTACTTTGGAATATTTTGTGTTTATATGCCCTTCCCAAATGTTTTCACTTTCTTAATTTGGTTTTCTTTTTCTGTAGGTGGCACAGGAATGGATCAGCTCTCCAAATAAGGAGAATTTCTATCAGTTGCATTTACGAAAATTTCCTGCCGATTTTAAAAATTACTGGGAGTTTGTTGGTAAGTTTTTTCTTACACAACTGGGAACATATGATACAGTACTTAGATTGGCTGGCTGACCTGCCTTCCTTCTTCCCTTTTAATATGCAAATACTTCATTAGTGTTGGGGTTGCAATCACAGGGCAGCAAAACAAGGAAAGAGGGCGGTAAAAAGGAGACGTGGGGAAACGTAGAGAAGATTATGTGTAAGAGATGGCATGACTTCATAGAAAACCGCTAGCTTGGGAATCAGCAGTTAGCGTAATGGCTATGTCACTGGATTCCCACGTAGTCGACCGCGGTTCGCGTCCCGGACCCGGTGGCTTAGAACTCACACCGGGCGCGTGTGCATGTGTACCCAAGATCCCGAGAGGAGAATGGAGGAGAAGGGATTGCGGCGTGACCATCCCCCATGGGGGATGATTTCTTGCTTTCTGTCTCTATGTCTCTGTCTGGCAAGCGCATGCACCCTATAGTGAAAACCTCTCCAAAACAAAAACAAAAACAAAAACAAAAACAAAGCCAGGTGTGAGAGAAATTATTTGTTCACACAGACAGTTTGTGGAGGGTTGGTGTAGAGCAAGGCTCACAGAACAGGTGGAGGGAGTGAGCTGTTGACTGTGGACTCGCGTTCTCACAGGGTGGAAGAGATGCAGAGGGCCAGGTGTGAGAGAAAGGGCACAAGGCGTCCATGCCCTCTCTGGGCTCGCCTCCCTGCAGGAAACTCCAGGTGTTCAGCTATCCAGAGGCTCCTGGGGATTTCTTTTTAGTAGACATTATTATTATTGGAATTTTCAGGGACATAGGTTTTCTAAGTTAAGCTAAATTTTCATTCTCTTAAAATATGTTTAAAGTTCTAATGAGATGATTATTGGTACAATTAGCAATGTATATTTCCTAGTTTTTTCTCACTCCGTAATTAGAATATCAGACTGAAATGGCAGTGGAAGCTGGGAATGAAAGAGAGGGTGAGTGTGGGGGGCTTGGCAGGGGTGTTGCTGTACTCTTTTGGTGGGTTCCGAATAAATCTTCCTGGCTGGCATTGGTCTGAACGATATTATTATTTTTATGTACAAGCTAAAAAATGAACATTCAGAATACCCACTCTATCTAGTCTGCTCTGTAGATCCAGTTCAGAAATAAGCTTGTGTGTCTATTTCTGGGGAAAGGTACTACATGTTCATTGTAGAACACATATAGATAATATTGACCAGCAGAAAAATAAAGCTATTAACTAATTCCATTAACATTTTGGATTTTGGTGTTCGTCATACTGCCAGACTTTCTAATCATTCGTGTGAATGTGTGTGTGTGTTTTGAAGAGAGGGTAGTGGTATTATTTTACTTATTTTATGACATTTTTCATTCAGTCATTCAGCAAATACTTAATGAGTTTGTTAACTTGATGGATGATTCTCGATACAGGTTCTTTTTTTTTTTTTTTGGAGAGATTTTCGCTATAGGGCGTGTGTGCTCGCCAGACAGAGAGAGACATAGAGACAGAAAGCGAGAAATCACTCCCCCAGGGGGGATGGTCACGCCACAATCCCTTCTCCTCCATTCTCCTCTCGGGATCTTGGGCATGCACGCACACGCGCCCGGCTGAATTTTAAGCCACCGGGTCTGGGACGCGAACTGCGGTCGACTACGTGGGAGTCCAGCAACATAGCCATTGCACTAACTGCTGGTTCCCTCTATACAGGTTCTTTAGCTGTGAAGAGAAAACAAAATTCTGCCTTTATCTGACTTACATTCAACTTGTTTTTATTTGCTATATTATAAATCTCTTTTCAGTGTTTTTAAATAATACTGTATGTTTAATAGCAGTTATTTCATTGTAAGCATAGTCCATGGTTTATTAATCATTTCTAGTCGAGTGTGTACATGTTTATAGTTAACTATTATAAACCCTTTAAGTCCTTTTTCTAGGTAAAGCCATATACACTTTTTTTTTTTTTTAAGAATTATTTAACTTTATTTATTTATACACTTTTAAATTTTATTTTGACCATAGAGAGAGAGAGTGAGAAAGCAAGCCACCAGGTTCAGGACTCGAACTGTAGTCACACAGGTGAGAATCCAGTGCATTTAACCACCACGCCATCTGCTGGCCACGAATTTTTTTTTCTTTTAAAGAGAGATTTTTGCTGTAGGGTCCATGTGCTCACCAGAGAGACAGAGACAGAAAATGAGAAATCACCCCCCAGTGGGGATAGCCATGCCGCAATCCCTTCTCTTGGAACTTAGGGTATGCATACACACACAGCCATTGTGTTTTTCAAGCCACTGGATCCAGAACTCAAAACGTGGAATAGGTCATGTGGGATCCAGTGCCTTACTCATTTCACTACCTCCTGGCCCCCATTTTTACTTATCTTTTTTTTTTCAGTAGAGATTTTTGCTATAGGGTACATGCACTCCCTGGAGAGATAGAGACAGAAAGTGAGAAATCACTATGCCGCAATCCCTTCTCTTGGAATTTTGGGCACGCACACATATGCACCTGACATAAGTTTTAAGCTGCCAAGTCTGGGACTCGAACCACAGTTGACTACGTGGGAGTCCAGTGACAGCTGTTAAAACTTCTGCTGGTCCCTGTTTTTTTTTAAAGTAAGATGTTTGCTGTAGGGTGTGTGCGCTTGCTGGAGAGACTAGGAAATGACCTCCTCGGGGGGGGGTGTCAGTGCTACAGTCTCTTCTCCATTCTCCTCTTGGGACTTTGGGGGCGCATGCATATGTGCCTTGCATAAGTTTTGAGCCACCATTTCCAGGACTTGAACTGCAGTCGGTCATGGAGGAGTCCATACCCTAACCACTATACAACTTGCTGCCCCCATTTTCGCTTCTAATAGCAGGGTGTAAGGGTGTGCATTTCTCTTATCTGCTAGTGTAGATTTCATCAGTTTTATGTAAAAGAAAAAAATGTATCTCATTAAAAGTAGGTTTTTGTCCCCATGTGTTTACTGGTTATTTGTATCTTTGGGGATATGACGATAATTGTCTATTCTCTTTTTTACTTTTTTGTTTTCAATTTGTCAGGGTGTGTGTGCGTGCCAGGGAGATGGAAAAATAGGGAGAGGAAGCATGGGTTGTGCCACAATCCATCCCTTCTCTATTTCTGTACCCTGTCAAGATTTGGGGCACACATAGGCACCTGGCATGTTCGTCAAGTTGTCAGGGACAGGATTTGAACTGAGTAGTCCTGTGGGATCTGGCTCCTTTAACCGTCGTCAGGTCATGGCAATAGCTGCCTTTTTTCCTATTACAGATGTTTTCTTTTAAATTTGTGTACACTGTTGCTCTTTAATTTTTTTTTAAGAGAGATTTTTGCTATAGGGTGTGTGCACTTGCCAGAGAGACAGAAATCAAGAAATCACTCTCTCCCAGTGTGTGTGTGGGGTGGCCACAAGGCCTTCCCATTTCCTCCATTCTCCTCTTGGGATTTTGGGCACATATGTACACACGCCTGGCGTGAGTTTTAAGCCACCAGGTCTGGGACTTAAACCATGGTCAGCTACCTGGGAGTCCAGCAATATAACCATTATGCCATCATTTGGTCCCTTTTACAGTTTTATTATACGTCTAGATGCAATAGCCTTGAAGCATAAAGCCATTTTAAAAGCAAGTGCCTCATCATTACACACACCTGTTGTTTTTCTTTAAGGAATTATTTTATTTACCGTTATCATCATCATCATCATTAATTTGGCCAGAGAGAGACAGAGCAAGAGAGAGAAGGAGGGAAAGTAAGAAAGCAACCAGGTCCGGGACTCGAATTGGTAGGCCATGTGGGAGTCTGAAACCTTAACCACCGTGCTACCTGCCAGCCCCTACACCGTTTTCTGTTTGTTTGTTTGTTTGGTAATTTTTAATTTTTTGTCTTTTTTTTTTTTTTAAGTTTTTGAAGTCAACCAGAGAGAGAGCGAGAAGGAAATTGAGAAAGCAAGCTGCCAGGTCCAGGATTCGAGCCACAGTCAGCCATGTGGGAGTCCAGCCACTTAACCACCACACCACCTGCTGGCCCCCTACACTTGTTCTTAATCTCTTTACATATTTATTACAACCCCTAATCATCAGTTCAGCTTTTACAGGGTTAATATTATATTGATAGTTGTTGGAGGGAGTGGGAGGCTATTGTATCAGCTATGTTTTTTTCCCCTTTTTGTTTTTCCTCTGGTTTATCGAAAGCTTTGCTTCAGCCCTGGGAACTGATTTGATGATTTTCCTCCCACTTGAAAGGGAGAATCCTGTAAACTTTTATTAACATTTTGAAAGGGAACAGAACAAAAGGAGCATGGGACAAAGTCTAGAAGAAATCAAGTAGGCCCTTCTGAGTCCTCTCCCAGTGGAATAACACTTGGTGTGCTTAACTCTCTCCAGAAGGCATTCCAATAAGGGGGCTGGCAGGTGGCATGGTGGTCGAGGTGCTGGACTCCGATAAGGCCAAGTGGGAGTCCTGGTTCTGGTGGCTTGCTTTCTCACTCTCCTTTCTCTCTGTCTCTCTCTGATTGAAATAGAAGAATAATGATAATAAATGAAAAATAAATAAATCTTTGGAAAAAAAGGCATTCTTGGGAACCAGCAGTTAGCTTAATGGCTACGTCGCTGGACTCCCATGTAGTCGACCGCAATTCAAGTCCTGGACCCAGTGGCATAAACTCATGCCAGGAATGTGTACACGCGTGTCCAAGATGCCAAGAGGAGAATGGAGGAGAAGGGATTGTGGTGTGCCCAATCCCCCCTGGGGGGTGATTTCTCGCTTTCTGTCTCTATGTCTCTTTGTCTGGCGAGCGCACGAGCCCTATAGCGAAAAAACCTCTCCAAAAAAATAAAAAAAGGCATTCCAACAAGGTATGTTAAATGTTACCTTCTAGAGAAGCTCATTAAAGACTCTGCCACCTGGGACCAGCAGTTGGCGTGATGGCTACATCGCTGGACTCCCATGTAGTCGACCGCAATTCAAGTCCTGGACCCAGTGGCATAAACTCATGCCAGGAATGTGTACACGCGTGTCCAAGAT